TTTTTTTGTCTTTTTTCCGTGTCCGGCAACGGATCACAACCCTCAGTGTTGCCCCCGCACCGGACCGGGGACCGGCAATGGGATCGCAACCCTCGGCGTTGCTCCTGTGCCTCGCTCAGCCAGTGAGCAGGAACCGGTCTGTATGTGGGATCCGAACCCTCGGGCAGGAGCGCCGCCGCGCTTCCCAAGCGGCGCACTATCCAGTGCGCCACCAGGCCGGCCAATTCTAATGAGGTGATTTGGGGTAGGGGCTGGCCATGCCAGAAAGCCTAACCATGTGACTAGGAGGTTGGGGCTTTGCACCAAATATCAACCCAACCTCCCAGGAGGAGAGGGGAGACTGAAGTCAGTCACATGACCAATGATTCAATCATGGTTTCATAACAATGCCTACATGAAAACTCTGGACACTGAAGCTTTGGTGAGCTGCTATGGTCATCATACATCAATGTGCCAGGAGGGTGACACGTCCTGAGGACACAGAAGCTTCATTTTGGGACCCTCCTGAACCTCACCCTATTTTGTTAAGTATAGTACTTTGCTAAGTTCTTTATGTCATTCTAGTGAATTATCAAATCTGAGGGTACTGGGGACCCCCTAAACTGTAGCTAGTTGGTCAGTTAAGGGTGGCTTGGGAACCACAGAGTTTGTGGCTGGTGTCTGAAGTGAGGGGAGTCTTGTGGAAGACTGCACCCTTAACATGTGAAATTTAACGTAATTCTGGGTAGTTAGTGTCAGAATTGCATTGCACAACCAAACCTACAGTAAAATGGATAAATGAATTGCCATACATTCATACAATAGAATACTGCATAGCAGTACTACATAGAATACTACATAGCAATGAGAATGAACAAGTTACAATTATATACAACAATGTGGATGAATCTCACAACTATAATGTTGAGCAAAAAGTACACAAAAAGTATATATACCATGTAATTCTACTAATGCACAGTTCAGTAACAAGCATATCTCATGTGTGGTACTGGAAGTCGGGAGAGTAATTCACTTGGGAGTGAGCAGGAATTATAAGAAGGCACAAAGGAACGTCGGGGGTGCTGGTAATGTTCTACTTCTTGATCGCGATGCAGGTTACACAGGCGTGTTCACTTTGTGAAAATTCATCAAGCTGTATATCTGTGCATCACTCTGTATGTAGGTTATACTTCAGTAACATTTACAGTAAAAACAACGTCAATGCCTGCCCTGCTGTGTCCTCATAGATGACTAAATCTAGATAGGAAGTACCCTCACATCTAGGTTTTAATCGGGTACTTGGAGGTTTTCATTATATTAAATACTATTTTCCAGCACCCACAAAAGAAATGTAAATCTGTCACTGTAATTTGATCCTAGAATTAGAGGGAGACATGTAGCTCTAAAAAACCTACTGGAACATCTTCTGAAATATACTGAGATAGAAAAATTAGAGGCTGCATAAAAATATAATATATACAATTTAAAAATTCATATAGAAAATGTAAAATATAAACGTCCAATCACCTTTCCTTTCTTCCTCAGAAATATCATGAATTTTCTGATTCACAAACTCAGCATAGGAAGCAGCATACCACACCTGCAAGAACCAAGTATAGCATCAAGAACTCAGAGACATCACCAGATGTTCCTTGCGTGCTTACATTATTCTTCCCGCTTACATGAAACCATTTAGGCACTTCCACCGCCCATTAAAAAAAATCCCCCAGTAACACCCGACTAGCAGATCATCAGTCAGGAAGCTCGTTTGCCAAGAAACCCTGCATGTTCTCTTTTTCCTTTTTTAAAAATTGTTTTTGTTATTAGAACAATTTCACAAGAATTATACTCATAGTCTCTTCAATTAATCTGTATGTAAACACAGGTTGTTGCACAGTTGTAATCATAGTGGCTGCCACCAAACAGCTCTTGCTGGCATCACCAGGGACTATTTCCTGTGCTGCCACATTCTCCTGAGTCTCTTCCTCCCTCCTACCCGGCTGGCTGCTGCTTTGCACTCTCCTTATCTGGCTCTTTCATATGATCATATCTGGCTCTTCCAGGTGATCATATCTATTTCCAACCAACTCTATACCGACTCCCAAGTTAATATCTCCATCCCATACTCTCCATCTGTGCTCCCTCTAAGTACATTTGACTGCCTGCCTGACATTTTAGATGTCTCAGAAACAGCTCAAACTTAGTAAGTCCAGAATGGAATTCCCAATGCTTCCCAACTCACACTCTCACCCCTGCCAATCTTCCCCATCTCAATAAATACCCCACCTTCTGCCCAGTTGTTCAGACTTGAGACCTAAGAGGCTTCTGTGATTTCGCGGTTTGCATCTGTAATCCTTCAGCAACAACTGTTGTCTGCTCAGGTGTTCTCCTCCTCTGCTGCAGCCACCCAGATGCATGCCAAGACCGTCACTTGCCTGGATTACCACCTGGCCTTCTAGCTAGCCCCCTTTTCCCTGTGATCCACATGGGAGCCAGAGTGGTCCTCTCAAAACACAATCAGGGCCGACCCGGTGGCGCACTGCTATAGTGTGCCGCTTGGGAAGCGTGGCGGCGCTCCCGCCAAGGGTTCGGATCCCACATACAGACCGGTTCCCGCTCACTGGCTGAGCGAGGCACGGGAGCAACACCGAGGGCTGCGATCCCATTGCCGGTCCCGGTCCGGTACGGGCGTGACACTGGGGGTTGCGATCCGTTGCCGGACACGGAAAAAGACAA